GTTTCCCTGACATCATGAGAGCGAGCAGTGCATATTACAAAAAGCTGAGAGTCTCAAAGTATCATCTGGGCCCAAGAGCTCAGGCTTTAGCTGCAACAGCAAACGTCATTAATATCACCCTGGGTGTCAGCAACTACAGGAGGTGGAGCCCATGTCCCAAGCACATCATTGTGTCTCCCTCTGGCATGCCCCCGGCAGTAGCATCTGCAGGTAAAGCTGGCCATATCGCCTGATGGTTTCTTTCGCAAGGATAGGAAGAAAGAAATATTTTGCCTGTGAATTTCAAGAAGTATTTATTTTCTTGGTCAGAAGTGGCTGTTACTTTCTCTGCAACCTCCTCAACATACAGAAATATCTCCTTCATCCTAGGGCTTCAAAATACCTAGGGATCATGAGGCACCTATTTAAAGACTATCACTAAGTTATTTCCTTCAGTAAGTAAAAATCTACAGTTACAGTCTTTTTTTGAGCAGAATTTTCATTGTCCTGGAGGAAACAGGGTAAGGAACTATACCACAATTATCAGGAGGAGACCACCACATCTATTCTAACTTAAAAAGAGGAAAACCCAAAGGAATAACATTAGCAAACATCAGCTGAATTGATTTATACACTGCTATAGTCTATAAGCAACATTTTTTAAACCATATTAATTTTTCACTTTTTCAGCTACCACTAAAGCAATTAGCAGAACTTATTAGCCAAGTGACATTTTACAAATTAATGATTTACTCCTATAAACTGATAGAAATGCACAGTAAATAAATCTTGATTTAAATGGGATCAGGAAATCACTCAGTCCTGGAATATGTATAATCAGCATTCATGGTTTTAAAAACAGAAGCGTTGAGAAAATTATTATCTTCTATTCCAGTCTAGTTTTTACTCTTTAGAAGTAATTTTGTCCATTAAATTATTCAAGGGTAATTTTGAAAAGACAGCAAACATTTCAAGTGACCGAAATAATGGCAATGTGCATATGAAGAAAGGCTGAATTCCCCTCAGTGGATTTCCATTACTGCAGACGTCTTTATATTTTAATATACTCAGAAATAATTCCTTATCTCACTGGAGTAGGAGTAGAATAAGTGAAAAACATCTAGGAGTCTCTACTGTATCCGTTGCAATTCAGACACCTCACTTTTGATACCTGAGCTAGATGACACTTTAGCGTAGACAGCTCTATATCACGGTAGATACTGAATTAGAAAATGAGCTTTAAAATTAAATTTTTTGAGTAAAGTTGGAAGCTGGGCTTTATATTTAATGATTATCTTTGGGAACAAAGTTGAAGAGAAATTCTGTCCCCATTAATCTGAGCATAGCTGTGATTGTACCACATATGATTCCATTCTCCTCCAAGCACTCTCACTGGCAGGGTTACTGTTTTCAGTAAGGCAGCCATACTTGCATTTTACAACTGAAGAATAATAGAAATGTTGATTTTTGTCAGTGGAAGGAAAACTTACTTTAGATCAGTGAGAAAGCTTTGGTGTATATCACTGAGCTTCCTCACGTTATGTAGCTATTGTGACCTCAGGTTTAAATAATGAAAGCCATCAAAGAAATTCTTTTTTTTTCCCATTTTCATCATACTATTTATACACTGTCCTCCTCCCCAAGGCATAGGTTTTTTCCACTCACTCTCACACTTTGACGGAGTGTTTCTCACAACCTAAACCAATTGATTTTACTTATCTTTTTATCTTACCAAACATGCTATACGTATATGGGTCTGTGTAACACATAGAAAGAGTATCTATTTGAGAATAGCTCAAAATACAACCTATGCAGTGGGACCCACACAGGCCACAGGTATTGAGCATAATTTCTACTGAACAGGAACTCTGTCAACAAATCTATACACTAAAAGTGAAAATTCTTCTATATTTATGTTGGCACCTTGTGTGTTTCTTCTGGAGCAACACACAATGTAAGTAACTGGCAAAGAACCGTAACTTTGAACCTCTGTATTCTGCTGCTGAATCTAGCGAATCCCTATTTCAAAACTGAAATCAAAGTGCAGTTGAATATATGTTTCAAGAAACAGTATCACTTCCTAATACTAAGAACTTTTCCCAAACAAGAAATTGCACTTACAGACATAGTTTAGGGAATCTTCTGATATATTTTGTCCTGAGGGAAGACCAATAATTCCAGGAGGACTCCCAAGCTACTTAGTAAACAAAGCTAGGACTAAAATTTTTAAAAGCATATTAACCAAGGAACACTTTACGGAAAAGCTGATGTTTCGAGGCACAGGTCACTAGAGAATTTGTGTCTGAGCAAAACCTAGCGTAGTCAAAACTGAAAGTGAATCGGTGCTCATTTGCTTTGTTAGCTTCAAGTCTTGAATCCTTACAGTCAGTAGTATTTACCTACGACATGAAGGGTGATAGCACTATTTGGCTTTCTATGTAAGGATGCAGTGGGAGAGAAATAGATCCTCAACACTTCTATTCATAAGTTTCTGATTATAGAACCGAGCTCTCTCTACATTCAACGCCCCCCCGCCCCCGACACACACACACCACACCACTTCTCTTTTATCTTAAGTTTTGAATGATACCGAAATGTTGTTAGGGAGTTGCTGAACCTGCCCTGGTAGAGGCAAGGCTACTGCAGCTCCATGTTCTCGGCTTCAGCCAGTAGTGACATTGAGCACGTTTTCCCAACAGGCACAAACACTGACACGTGCATATAATACATATTTCACATGGCCAGCCCCACAGATCAAAACAGAAGGAAAACGTAGCAGTCGCACAAACACAAATGGCTGATCAGAGTGAAGGTCTGCTAGTGGGAAATACATACAGTGTGGACCCCTCCAGCAGCTGGCCTCGCACACTCAGGCTGTCCAGTAGCTGGCCCCTGGATCCCAGGTATCTCCAGTTGCTGACACATGAACAAGCCCTAAGGCCACAGCCCCACTCCACTTGCTGATGCAGACCCCCTCACTCCCAGCTACCCACACACATGTGCAGAGGGACTCTATAGATACCTCAGCAAGTACTTTTAAACACTTGGTTTACCCAGTAGCTGGCCCTTGGATCCTTGATCTCCCCCAGCTGCAGGCATCTAGGCAGGTGAGCAGCCAGTGCCCGCAGCCCTGCTCCAGTTGCTGGTACAAAGGAGCCCTCTTGCACACTCCAACACACATACAGACATACACACACACTGTGGATCCCTCCAGTGACTGGCCTTAGACACTCAGTCTACTCAGCAGCTGACTGCTAGATCCTCTCATCTCCAGTTGCTTTTGCGTACAGAGACAGACAGATGGGTCTGTTGGTTGAGCTCCACACCCCATGGTCTCCACAGTAGTAGGCCTGGACCTCCTGGTCCCTCTAGTAGCCAGCTCCTCCAGTTGTCTCACACACAGAGGTTGACTGAGAGACTCCTAGATCTCACAGTCTCTCCTGTAGTTAGTATGGACCTCCTGACACCTCCAGTATCCAGCTATGAGAAGAAAAAAAAAAGTGATGTCCACCTACTGAGACAGAAGAACAGACATTTAGAAGCAGAAAGCACTAGATGGCAGCAGCGCTCAACTCGTTTAATTCGGATACAAAAGTAGAGCAGTCACCTATATTCAGCAATGCAATTTCTATATATTTCCCATGGCACCTGAGACAGGAATTCAATACTAAAGACAGCATAGATAAATTTCACAAAGCTGTTGATAAAATGCTCGGTGAATGCAGTAGGCAACAGCAGAATCAAGCAGTCTTCCAACTTCCCGCTGCCATAAGAAAGGACATGAGGAGTAATAACATGACAGAACCACTAAATATATTTCTCAGAGAGAAGAATATTGCATAACTGAGGAGGTATACAACGCTCCTGTCGCATCTCCCACTTCCACGGGGTTGGGCAATGCCTTCCCTTTCCCCTCTGCCTGTTGCAGCACTGCCCTGGTGCTGCTGGAGGGAGAAACAACCTTCCCCGCCGATATCTTCTGTGCAATTATTGGCAATAGCTAGTGGTTAATTCGGACAAGGCTTAAGCTTCAGATGGTTGAAGGAGAGCTGGTAACATCATAAGACCCAGTAAAAAAGCGTGGCCATGGGCCGTTCCCCTCCCCTCTCAATAATTAGGATAAAATCACTATCTAGACACGCAGGTCTCTAACCTGTATCGGTTCCCTTGTGCTACCCGAACACTAGATGTGATCAAAAGGCACAGCCAAAAGGTGACGGACCATGCTGCTGCCCTCTGGGCATCAGCGAATATGAGGGACGTACCCCAGGTCACCTCGTGAGACACAGGACGCAGGCCCCCAGCACCCCTGGTTCGCGGCTGTCCTGCAAGGGGATAGCAAAAGCTGTGCTCAAACCTAAGCTTGGATCACATATTTATGCAGATTTAATTTCACATTAAAAAAAACCGCCAACCACCACACAGAAATGAAGCCGTATAGTGCAGCTGCTTAACAAAAATACCTCCCCTGTGCTCAGGCAGTGGCAGAGAAGGTCCATGAGGAACCCCTCCTGCT